GTTTATGCTATCACCTTCTCTTTGGATTCAGTTAGTTCGGTCCCTCCCCACATACTTTGGTTTTTACTTGTGTTATTGTTTATTTTTGTTTTGACTTTATTCTACTTCTCTTTGATTTTATTTTCATTAATTTACCTTTGTTTAGCTTGAATGTACCAATTCAGCTAAGTTGATTTTAATTAAATCTGAGACTTAATTGAATCAATTTATCTATTTTTCCTTTTAGTTTCCTACAGCTATTAGGACCTTTTTGTTTTACTTTACCTTATTTTAGTTTATTTGACCATCATCATCCTCCCTATTTGTATAGGATTACAGTAGTTTAAGCAACTGATGTTTCCTTAATGAGTTATACAGGTTATTAGTAGCCTAATCCCTGTTTCCTCTCTACTCCTCCTCACTCCTCAGTGCCAGACCTAATACATTGAAGGGCAGCTACTGTTCAACACAATGTAAGCCAAGATAGAACAAGGAACAATTCCCATTGTTTCTTTTTCTTTTTCTTTTTTTTGACGAGGTATTTGGTGTGTCCCCGCTAGTTTAGCAAACAGTCTAACCCTAGGTTTATGAAGTCTATTGCAGCATCACCCACAAGTGACACCTGCTTAGCCATATCTCTTAGAAAAAAAAAAAACTAAATAGGTAAAATCTTCCTTTTCTTTTTTTGAGTTCATCTTATTTTATTTCAGTTTTGTAATAGGGACCAAACCCGTGAACCATCAGTGCTTTGAGTAATAGTTTGACCACATGTATAGCCCGGTCATCAGCTGACCCCTGCTTACAGCCCCCTCAACAAAGTTACTCAAACTCTCTCTTTTAGTAGCCTAATCCCTGTTTCCTCTCTACTCCTCCTCACTCCTCAGTGCCAGGCCTAGTACATTGTTACTGTTCAACACAATGTAGGCCCAGATAGAACTAGGAACACTTCCCATTGTTTCTTTTTCTTTTTTACCTCGAGGTATTTGGTGTATCCCTGCTATCTTAGCTAACAGTCTAACCCTAGGTTTATGAGTCTATTGCAGCATCACCCACAAGTGACACCTGCTTAGCCATATCTCCTAGCAAAAAACGAAATAGGTAAAATCCTCCTTCCTTTTCCTTTTTGATTTCATCATTATTTTATTTCAGTTTTGTCATAGTGACCAAACCCATGAACCATCAGTGCTTTGAGTAATAGTTTGACCACATGTATAGCCCGGTCATCAGCTGACCCCTGCTTACAGCCCCCTCAACAAAGTTACTCAAACTCTCTCTTTTGTGTTCACGAACACAAAAACATAGCACCCTACCTCACTAGCTGCCCCTCATCAGCTATTCATACCTTACACGGCCTACACAGCCATTCCCCATACAGATAACTTAACACCTTTGTACGTACTTGCATTTGCCCTGTACCTCCCTCTCTCTGGTGTTCCCACAAGTGTGCCAGTATGTCGCAGATAGGGCCTCAGACGGGAGGTAAATGAACTGAACCTGCAAGTCACAAGAGTTCTACAGGGAACTGACACCCGCTCAGCGAGACAAGGCACAGAACGGATGCAAAGAACCTTACAGAATGGCGCAACAGAAGGAAATAACCAGTCTTCAGGAGGCTCTAACAGCTGCTGGACACCAAGCGCCGCTGGAAAAAGCCATCAGACAGGACTTGGAAAACTGTTAAAAACAGCATAGGTGGAACTTAATGAGAGAGACACTAGAGTTAAGGCCTTAGAAGGCCATTTGCATGCAGCCAGAGCTGAAGTCCAAACCCTGACTCAGCAATTCTGCAACATTAAAGAGGAGCTTGACATGGTTCAGAGAGAACTGAAACAGTCCTGCCAACTGCGCATGGACTCACATAAAAGACAGCCTGCTGAACATCACACAGCCAGCAGTGCAAGCCCCCTTACCCCTGTACACAGCTACGAAGGGGGAGGAGCCAAAACCTTCTGCTTGACACTTCACAAATCAGCTTCCTGAAAACCTCTGCAGCTGCAGAAGGAAAAAGTTTAATTCAGGCGAACCGAAACAACGCCTGTGAATGGGGATGGGGCAGGGACCCTTCCAGAGGGCCACTGCAGACACACACACCGTGTGGCCCCACAGAACCCAACAAGCTGGCCAGAGACAATTGGCAAAACTGGCAACCTAAATACTGCAGAGGGCCACAACACTTACTCACCTGCAAAATATGGACATTTATGCTTGAACTCTGCCCAATGTGACCACACAAGACAGACTATCTGCTCAGGATCACCTCCGGCCTTGAGGCACACAACATCCTCAAACAGCAGTCTGAAACTGTCAAAGCGGATTACAAAAACTACAACAAGCCTGCTGCAGCCAACTCTGAGTCTACGGCAAA